GTAACAAGAACGCGCTTAGAGCGGCGGTCCGTCTCACTTGCTTGGAGATTAGATCGAGAAATGAGGAGGCCATTAATTCTACACGAAACAGGATTTACTTGCAAAGGTTTTTTACTTCCTACTTTATCGACGTCGATACTGTTATGTTTATTTGTTTCTGAATTGATTTAGTGCGCGTGTTAGTGGCGACCGGCAATACGTCTGCGGTCGTAGGCTATACGCGCATATAAATACATGAAAATTCAAGGGCCTCGATGCTACAGGAATTGCATCATTGCCAGAGATCAAAAAAGTGATTTACATGACACGTCATTTCAATCATCGCCGAAAATAAACCGCATGGTCATCACAAGACTCATTTGCATACAGTGAAAGTTTACAACACCCGACCATCGCAGTTTTGTTAATTAAGATTCTTTTTTTTTCGGTAGTGTTCACTTGGTCCAAAGTAATCAACGCTCTCAAGCGAAAGAATTCGTGGACCGACACGTTTCAGAAAAGCTCTAAATTTAATCCTTCCTAAGCTTTCTTGGCAAAACATGCGTGGCTTCGATCACGCAACGATTCTTAGTTCTAGTTGCCCCGTCTCTGCTAGGAACTCCTGGCACAATTACCCCTGCACAGCATTTGCAAGGGTAAGATCTTTCATACACAAAGAGCTGTTCCGAAGATCATTGGATCTTATGCCAGCTACTAATCTGGAAAGCAGAACACGTTCCTTACATGACATTCGAGCTGCAGTCTTCCAACAGTCCTCGTAATGGCATTTATTCAAAAGGGACTACAAATCAGTGAAAAATTCTCGTAATATTCGTGAACAAAGATACTTGTGCTTCCACATACCTGGGTCTGGAAAGCCTCGGTGATACCGATAACATCATGGAGTACTAACAGGTTCATTTGTTTCAGTGTCATCATTAAGACATTTGTAAATAGATTTTGTTGGGTTTCGGGAGGGAGTTCAGAAAACTCTGTAATATTTTTGGTAGAGTTCCGTCGTTGCTTCCAAATTTGGAATCCTTCGGAGAAGAGGTATCGATATCCAATCGACGGACTCGTGCAGTTTCAGAAGTAGGTTTAGGACTCTGTTTGGACAGCGTATCCTGTCTTTTAAGCAGATGGCGAAAAGAAAAAGAGCGAAATTTACATGGTACTGTATTTATCCTGTCGACTACGCGATGTTTGTTTCACATCCCATGTGGTTCCTAGCTCGTGCCCGGACCCTTAGCAGGCAACACCACAGCAAAGGTTTATGAAGGAACGCTATTTGTTTCAAGTGAAGAACAAGTAAAAACAAAATGTAATTAAAAGTCTGACGTGAACTATGTGTTCGTGAAAACATTTTAACCTTCTAGTTTCATTCATAGTGTTACGAAGAGCCTCGAGAATATTTTAAATTTGGCCTAAATTATTGAACTGCACAAATATTTATCTACAAAGCGTGAACGAATCGACGGCTGGTGAGAAGAATACATCCCTATATTCCGAGGGTTTTATGCGGCAGAACCGAGTGTTCGGGGTCTTATCGTCATTTGTACTTTTCTTTTACAAAATAAACACTGGTTCACTCGAACAGGAAAGCACTCTGTCTTGCAATACAACATTGACAAAACGCTGTTCGAGTACCAATTGATCAACTGATTTACGGTAGGTCGAGAGATCATCGTTCATCGCTTCACAGATAGTAGCTCGCAAATCCAATTATTTTTTGGAGATTTATTTCCACATTTGCAAAAAAATGGCCCGATTTCTAGTTAGAAATACCGTAACCTTCCTCCAAATTGAAAATCATACCTAGAATGCGTGTTTATCGCTTCCTCGAAATTTGGTTAGTCTGATCCGGAAAATTCACAGTCTCAAAATCTCTTGCAACAAAGAAACACAATTCGCAAAACTTTCTTACCATTGACCAGCAGCCGATCAGATCACTCTGTCCTAACCTCCGAACCAAGATGGTGGAACCTCTATTCAGGGGACACCGTCGGGACCAAGGCAAATGTCCCCAAATAGAGGTGTCCTCTGACTAAAGGTTGGACTAGGGTTTGTTAATAATTAACAGACAAAGAAAAATCCGAATCTGCCACAGTCCTTCAAGCTATCTCAAGTCATTCTGCTATTTCAAGCAGCTAGATATTGTATAAAGACAAAAATTAACTTACCTCTGCAATATTCTGTGTTGATTTCCCACGAGTACAGCACATAGATTTTAAGTGAGATAGTTCATGTTGTGAAAGCTGTCATTGACTAGTCTACACTTAAACTTATTAACCCTTTTTGTAGACAGTCACGTTAAATAAGCTAATGTCCCCTGAATGGGGGTGAAGCCCGGGAAAGTGTCCCTTTTCCTTGAGTAGAGGTGTCTCTTTAATAGAGGTAACAGATACAAGGATTATGTAAACATTTTTCCGCGACCCAATTTTCGCCCCCTGAATTGAGGTGTCCCTGCAGTAGAGGTGTCCTAAAGGAGAGATTCCACGGTAGGTTATTTTTAAGACAATCTAAAAGTTGTCTACAATGAACCAGCCGCCAGAAGGGGATTATTTGATAATTATGTTGTTTGTCCATTCCCTTCAGGACTGCTCCTTGAAACGAATATACGTTGACCACCGCACACCAAATGTTGACCCAGACCAAGTTATGGCAAAGAATCTGGATACAGGAGAGTTTTGTAGAGCTGATCTTTTGGTGTCAGGTCCTGTTGTACAGGATCCAGACTGGTTGGAGTGACATTTCTAGCCTTCGTTGTACATTTTCACGACCTCATCACGTATTCTGTCACTCTAAGGTCCTAGCTTTAGATGGAAGGAGGGTCACCCTTGTGGAAGGATAACCCTGCTAGTATTATCGATCTCAGTTTCGTTTACATAAGTGGTACCCTGGGTACCCTGTAGTAAGGGTTACCCCGTATCCTTGTCAGGTTACTAGTAGGGTCGACATTTTGGCAG